TTTCTTTTTCTTTCTAGGATTCTATGGACTGGGAACAGCCCAATGATCTGTCAAGGAAGGGAAGGGAATCTGAGTCACAAAATGGAGGTTACAGGCAGTCATATAAACATAAATCAACGTTGCTTCATAACTTCAACCAAGCCGAGAGGGAGTGCAGGGAGCGGTTGCAAAAGAGACAAGAAGATCGAGCTTTCGCAGAAACCAAGGCTAAATCCTACTCAAGCTCCCACCCTGAGCAAAGATCCTATCATGTTCAGGTTAAACCAGACCCGGAGCTCCTTGCTCATCCTTCCTCAACTAGTCATATGTCAACATTTACTGCTGAACCTGCAAAAGCCCTTCCTTCCCAAAGCATTCCAATCTTTGCTTTAAATTCAAATGGTTCGTATTATGTACCAATGAGCGTTGATATCTCCGTAATCCATCCGTACATGAACCTGTACAAGGAGGAAACCTGCCCGATCCTTCATCCTGTAACAATTTCCGTAAATTTTCAGCCAGCGCATATTGAGCGGTCAGCCTCCAAAGCCAACCTTGGGGTCATTCATCAACAGCAGTCGGTCATTAAACATTGGCGCGACCAACCTTGCTTGTGAAATTCGTCTTCTATCAGTGTTCAAACAAATCCGCGGAAATTATCCAACTTAGGGCATTGATCTCAACTGTATACAGGACTGGTAAAACATTCAATCCATCACTTTTGCTGAAGTAAAATTAAACCGTTCTCAAAATTAGAGAAATCTTTTTACATACAGGAAATGTCAGGTGTTTGGTTATTTTAGGATGGTTTATTTCTATGATCCAAAGGGGTTAAAAGAAATGTTTAAGAAGATTTCTTAAAATTAGAGATTCGGTAGAAAACTTTATATTGTATTTGTAATACTGGTTTTTGTAAACTACAGTCATATTGTTAAACGTCTATTTTACCCAATTCAAAGGGTCTGTAAAGGAAAAATGAAAGGGGGGTATAGGATGAAACCTGAAAATATCAACGTGGAACGATACATATAAGACATCTATCTGATGTTCCTGTCTCGAGAAATTGATACAAAAATTCATATATATATATATGCAATTTTGTATAAAAGTAGTAGGTTTAAACATCACATTCAGAAAATAAACAACCAATCTGAAAACGATTATATACCACAGGAGCCTGAGAATCTCAGGTTTGCTCCTGGTATAGTTTTTAATTTCTAGTTTGCATTTTTAATACATATAATTGATAATAATATTTCATATTGTCAGTATTGTCTGTTGTGCAGTGTAACGTGGTAACGTGTTTTCCCTCTGTATCACGTGACAACAATACTGCACTGTCATTGGCTGAAGTTCTGGTGACGTAATATGGACTGTACGAACTATATGTATTATGTGATAATATTATCAATTATATCTATTAAAAATGCAAATAAAAAAATTATAACAGGCACAAACCTGAGATTCTCGGGTTTTGTAGGATATGGTCTTTAGATTGGTAGTCTTATGTCTTATGTCTTATATGTATCATTCAACTCCTGAGATTCTCAGGTTTCATCCTATACCCCTTTCATTTTTCCTTTACAGTCCATTTAAAGATTAAAAAACTCTTAGTAACTGATTGTCCTTATCCCTTAAACACTACGTCGACCAAGATTTGAAAATTAGCCTTTAATTAGAAAAAAAAATAAGAAAACTGGTTTAGAAATTTCCATACCAAACCAATTAAAAATGGCCGCCTGGTGAAATTTCGCAAAATTCAATTGGATTTCTCCAACCCATCAATGTACCTGCACTGTGTAACATATATCTAACTTGTATTTTAATTGATTTATGGATTATTTTCAAAATTATAAAACAAATTGTTATGTATCTAGTGTTAGTATCAGTGATTGGCCTGAAATATTATTTATTCAAATATATATATTCGTGTTAAAAAAATTGAGTTTTATGAAAGGTTTCAGAAAATGTGTACTTCTTGTACAAGGTTGCCCGAAAAGGATGAGACTTTAATGACTACTGCAACTTTAAAACTCTTTTATATGGTGTCCTACGAATAGGGTTGAATGTATTCTTCCATATGCTGTATAAGATATTATTATTTCCGTTTATTTCGTTAAAAATATCTTTTACTCTAACATATTTTACTTTGAAATCAATTTTACTATATTATGACTGCCCTATGCTATTTGGATTATTCTTTAATTGGTATCAAACAACTTAGCAACTTATGGATGAAGACATTTTAAACTATTCACTAATGTCCTGTTTTGTGGGACACCCTGTATAAACTTAAAGTTTGAACCTATGTTTTTACAGTAAATTTAGTTGGAGAAATAATTTTGAAACGAAAGAATCAACTTTACATCTAAAGAGAGCAGTAAATGTAAGAAAAAAATGCTGACTAATTCTCTTTACACAAAGGGTGCATCTCATCGAACATTTTGTAAGGACAAAAATGGCAGACCATGTTGTAGGTCGACATTGTCATGATTTTAAAATTGATGGTATGTCGAAGATTTGGGATTTATAATATGAATTGTCAAGGATGTTAATAAAAAGTTTATGATACGCACATGGAGCGTCGCGTTGTATCGACATCGTCTTCAATTTACGTTTCATTTGTGATTATGCCGCCGTAAAATGATTATAAAGATCGTCTTTCAGGTTTTCGTATTCAATGTCGTCTTCCAACGCGTTCGATTTCCGGTCGTCTTCTAATATTTAGATCTTGTTTGTCAAATTAGGACAATTTAAAAAGAAACTTAAGCTTCAAAATATAATGAGAATTATAAGGTTTTTTCTAATAAGATGCAGTACGAATAAGATATCTTTTTCTAATAAGATGCAGTACGAATAGCGGATATCTTGTTCTATTAATAAGATAGTATACGAATAGGATATCTTGTTCTAATAAGATGCAGTACGAATAGGATATCTTGTTCTAATAAGATGCAAATAATAATAGTAATAATAATATTACTAATAATAATAATAATGAATACTAAAAAGAAATATATTTATGCAAAATAAAGCAAACATGGCATTTATAAAATGTAATATATTTCATGCTGAAAATTGGCTAAGGCTTAAATAGTCAAAACTTCATTCTCAACAAAGAAATAATATTAATACATTTTTGCAGTGATACACATATAAAAATAAACAGTTAGGATAGTTATTCGTTACTTAGATAGATAGAGGGTTTGGATGAATTGAATATAGCTGTGTTGAGGTGGAGTAGTTGTGGGGGGGGGAGAAGGCGCTCCTTGGGGGGTATCCTGGAATTTACTCCTCTCCTGGGACTAGGATATCTTTTTGGAAAAAATGAGACAAGGGGTAGTGAAAAGATAATCTGTATATATAACATAAAGTAATCTCTGTTTGTCTATCTGTCTGTTTTTATATCCAATCATAACTCATGAACCCATTGACCGATTTGCCTAAATTTTATCTGAGAACTTTACGGAAATGTTCTTAGTTTGGTTTAAATATTTCAAATTGAGTAAATTTATTAGGGAAACTTTATTTCCAGTCAAAGTTTGGTTCCCAAACTTGTCTGTTTATAAAAAATACTACAGGTTGTCCCAAGAAACATGAAAGTTGGTAAATAGTTTTGAATGTCGTCTTCCATACACTGTATTAGATATTAAAGGCTGTTTGCAGTTTAGATCGTTTAAAAATCTTTTGCTCAAATGTATTCTACTCTGAAGTTAATTTTACTGTAATGACTCCTCCTATATAATATTTTTATTATTGTCTCTGGTATTAAACAACTGAACAAATTATGGAAGAAGACATCCTAAACTATAATTTACCAATAGTCATTTTTCGTGGGAAACCCTGTATTACACTAGCTTTTAAAAAAAAAAATTTTTGTAATTTGTTCCTTTAAGTTACAAATGATGATCAAAATATCGAAAGAGATTTCTAGTTCTAGTTTTGTTAAGATTTAAATGTTTGTTTTTTTGTCCTCCCCCCCCCCCTCCTTCGGGTCAGGTATCAGTACTACTGATTTATATTGTTCTTTCCTTACAGTTCAAACAGGGGTAGGGGGCAAAGGGGGTGAGTGATTTGAATATTTCTTTTAATTAAAAAAAAATATTTTCTCAATTTCAGTAAAAAATTTGTAACGTTTTGCATAAAAAACTTAAACAGTAACTTTACAAACTTTTGTCCTCCTTCAACGTTATAATTAATTCTGACAAGCAGCAAAAATCACGCAACCTCTCATTACTGTTATTTATGTACTTTGTGATTTGCAGTCTTTAAAGAGCCGGAAATTAAAGATAGGCATTTATTTACAAAATACCATTTTGAAAACTCAGCTATATTTTTTGGTGTTAAGATATGCATTACATTGAAGATAAAGTTCTAAAAACAGTAAAATATAGAAAAGCATGATGAAATATTATTTCTTAACATATACATTGGAAGGCGATTATATCAACACAATGAAGACATCTTTCGATTTCAATTTTGATTTATATTAAGCTTTTAAACGTCATGGATACACATAAGCATAGAAGTCAAGAGAAGCTGTCGATTAAAAAAGCTTCTCTTTGTCAGAAATATTTGCAGTTATCCAGAATAAAAAGTTTTATCAAAAATTAAACTTTATCCGGTTTATGTGACGTTTAAAAAAATATGTTAAAAAATAATTTCTGACACCTCTAAATATCCCAGGGAAAGATTTACACCGTCTTTATGCATATTTTGTCAGATAAATTGATTTACGTAAAACTTACTACAACGCTGTATCAACATATTTACAGTCATAAATTTTCATCTCTAATTCAAAATATCGGAATCGACTTTAAATAATTTATCATTTAAAAAGTGTAAATAGCAAATACGGTGGTCGTCTTCATTATATTGATATAATCGCTTACCATCGTACAAAAAAACTTCATTTAAGGGGTGAAAATGGGTTAAAAAATTGGACGGACTGGATTATATTTTGAATAATAAAATAATATTTTACTATAAATATCTTTCAACATTTACGTATCTTAATTATAACAAAGAAATAGTATTTTTTCTTTTACGTCGAAAATTTGAGAATTTTAATTAAAAACATATTTTTCAAATTTTAAGATTCCGCAGAAAAATTTGAAATCATTTTATTCGTCATTCAAAATATACGGAGAGGCGTAGTCGGGGGGTTGTAAAAAACTTTTTGCGACAAAGTTGACATTTTTTTAAAATATATATTTCAATGATTTTGAGCCGGCCTTTCATTTCGTTTTTTAACCTACACAAAAAATTATCCAGTGAGTTTTTTTGGGAAAACCAAAACCCAGGGCGACACTTCAAAGGCGACCCGGTTCTGAAAATTGATGCAATATTTTCATAGGTGCCCCCCCCCCCCCCATCTTTCTACAGGAAGGGTGGGTTATGAAATACAAAACCTAATAAATGCATAATTGAAATCAACAGCATTAAACACTGCATTTACAAGGTAAGTATAATGTAATATACAAACGAAGGGAAACTTGTTCTTATATTTTATTTTTCAGTCCACCATTGTACAGTGGCACCCAAATAGGTGTGAAAGAAACGGAGTTTCAATTGATATTGAATATAAAATACGGAAATTTTGCAGTCAGACAGAATAAGAAATATGTTTTTTTTGGGTAGCAAGCGAGTTGGACTTGAGTTGTATCTCAATTGATAGATACACACTAAGAAAAACAGAGTGTGTTGTATCTGAATTGATACAGACACAGATACAGACCACTGAGTTCTGGAGCAAGTTGTATCTGGAGTGATATATCCTAAAAAATATAGAGGTTGTATCTCAATTGATAGATCTGACAAATACAGACGTTGTATCTGGATTGATAGATACTGACAAATACAGAGGTTGTATCTCAATTGATAGATACTGACGAATACAGAGGTTGTATCTTGGTAAATAGATACTGACGGATACAGAGGTTGTATCTGGATTGATAGAAACTGACGAATACAGAGTTTGTATCTCGAGTGATAGAAACTGACGAATACAGAGGTTGTATCTTGTTTGATAGATACTGACGAATACAGAGGTTGTATCTGGATTGAAAGATACTGACGAATACAGAGGTTATATCTGGATTGATAGATACTGACGAATACAGAGGAGGTTATATCTCGATTGATAGATACTGACGATACAGAGGTTGTATATCGATTGATAGATACTGACGAATACAGAGGTTGTATCTCGATTGAAAAATACTGACGAATACAGAGGTTATATCTCGATTGATAGATACTGACGAATACAGAGGTTGTATCTTGATTAATAAATACTGAGGAATACAGAGGTTGTATCCGGATTGATACTGACTTAAGAAAACTTATTTGAGTAAGGCATTTGTAACATACAGATTATGTGTTTATATAATCGGTCTACAGTCTGCAGTATGGATTTGTTTATAGAAGGACACGGATAACTCAGATAGGACTTGAGAGAAGGATCAGTTTTCAAGATTTTGTTTCTTTAATCTTTCACTATAAACTCAGGTTCATTTGAAATCTCTTTGGACCATGTATTCTGCACTTTTCGTCTCTCCTGGGACCATGTATTCCGCACTTTTCGTCTCTCCTGGGACCATATCCTGGACTTAACTCCTCTCCTTGGACCATATCCTGGAATTTACTCCTCTCCTGGGACCATATCCTGGACTTTACTCCTCTCCTTGGATCATATCCTGAACTTTACTCCTCTCCTGGGACCATATCTTGAAATTAACTCCTCTCCTGAGACCATATCCTGAACTTTACTCCTCTCCTGGGACTATATCCTGAAATTAACTCCTCTCCTGGGACCATATCCTCGACTTTACTCCTCTCCTCGGACCATATCCTGAACTTTACTCCTCTCCTGGGACCATATCCTGAAATTAACTCCTCTTTTGGGACTATATCCTGAAATTTACTCCTCTCCTGGGACC